CTGCAGCGGCTTCCTGCACCGTAAATACAAGTTTCTGTGAAACACGGTTGCTGCGGTGAGCGAAGCGATCGTTACACTTACCAGCTCATTGTTGTTGGCAGCGAAGCAGACAGTCCAACTAACGCGGGGTCTTCCAGCTTTCTATGAAGCTTTTCAAAGCGTTTTGTTTCTGCTCAAAACAGCGGAGCTTCGTCAATTATACAAGCAAGTTATCCAAACAGTCATACAACTCACTCTACCTAGCTGACTGCTTGTGTTTATGCTAGCTGTGCAATGTCGGAGTAGTATGTCCGAAAATGTTCCTTTCTCTAAAACGTGAAAAAACATTCAACGAAAAGAGTTTGACGTTAGTACTCTGCAGCCCGAATAACGTGTTGTTGTTAAGCGGAGAGAAATGTGAAATGTGCTTCCGGATAACAGCCCTTCAAACAAAAAGTGCGTCCGTGAAAAAGCTAAGTTGAGGTTACGGTTGTATTTTATTTTGAAGGCAAATTCATGTAGTTTCCGCCATTTGTCTCTACAGCCCTTAAGCTAAGATTTTTATAATGGGCGGAGCTTTCCAATTTCGCGCCATTTCGGAGGAAACCACTTGTGAAACGGGGTGGTGTGGGATTTAGGGTAGAAGATAATAACATTTGGGTTGAAATTAATTGAAACGTAGCAACAAAAAGTATAATTAATTAATTAATTAATTAACAAATAATTAACAGGTTGTCTGTTTCATACATTATAGAATATCGTATGTATAGACAAACCTATTTTAAGAGGATGGTCACCCCTCTGAGTGGAAAGATGTGTTATAACGGATGTGATTTTTTCCCGCGAATGAAAGGCATTATAGTGCAGTGAGTGTAATGACAAAAAAAAAAACCTAAACGTGGAACTAAACGGTCGCTTGTTTGCTGGCAACAGCTGTTTTTTATTAATACTTTTAATCCCTCAGACTCAGGATTAAATAGAAGCCTTCAGCAGTAATGTTGGGAAACATTTATATAACTATAAATAACTTTATTTTGGATACAACCTGTCCATAATACATTGTGTTATGTGTAGTGAAGTATCTTCATGATGTTTTAGCTATTCTTTTGCAAATGGAATGGTTTGCAAAAATATCCTCCACAACCTGTTGAAGCCGCTGTGATTGCCTGACATCCAGAACGCCTGGTTCTGCTGGAGGTTTCTTCCTTTTAAAAGGGATTTTTCCCCTTCCCTAGGAAAAGCACTTGCTCACGGGTTGTCTGATTATAAGGTTAGGAACCTTACAGTATAAACCACACTGAGGCAACCGTAACTGTGACTTGTCACTATATAAATAAAATTGAATTTAAAAATGGAATACTTGTATGAAACAAGTGACTTCAAGAATCAGGATTGGCCCGCCTTCAGTTAGCCATTCAAGGTGTGTCGTACATCAGCAGCCGGTTCATTTATATCCTGATATGATTTATACTCACTGCAATGCAAATAGTTACAATATTGAACAACTCTCAACTGTTTGTATGACCTGCATCTTTATATTAATGGTAATTAGCATGAAAGTTATGTCTCTGACTAATTCATGCTGCAGACTTGAGACAAGTGACACAACCATGTAATCTATACTCATTATTGATGAGTTCAGTGTAAAACAGCAGTCCACAAGAAAATATTCAGCTACCCCAGGCTGTGTTGTTGTTGAGCCATACTGAAGTGGACAGTATGTTTAACATTCACACAAAATCGCAGCAGACAACAGTTCCTGGATGAACACTGCAACTAAACCCCAAACATTATTCACTTCACCGATCAGTGGTGGCTGCAAATATAAGAGTTTTAATTAAAACATGTTTAGCCATTACATACCTGGTTACGCTGCTCCTGTGTAAGTAAGCAGTTGATAAATGAACTTCTGTCCTTGAAGGTCTGACAGTTTGTGACTAGAGGCTTTACTCTGCACTGCTGCAGGATTTAGACATCAACTAAACCTTTACAGAAATCAGCACATTCAA